GCCCCCCCCCCCCCCCCCCCCCGCCCCCGATATATGCCTATGTTCGTGGTATTAGTTTGTTACATTGCTGAGAAAATTAGTAAATTTGCAGTGTAAACTTGATTGCACTATTTTACTCGGGTTTTGACCAACTTAAATAAAATGTTGGGAGAAATGTTGCTGAGACTGGCTGTGCCCCTGGCTCATAAAGAGTACCATCCACACGCTTCCGGATCGTTTCTCAATTTGACTGCCATATTTTGGGTAAAACCCCCCTTTTACAAAGGCATGTCCCCCTTCTGAAATATGCATCGATTTGCCTCCGCAGAAGGCAGTTGTTATGTAAGTTAATTGAATAATCCACTAAAAATGACGTCATGAACTGTCGCTTTTCCTTCGCCCCGCCCACTGGATAGCCCCGCCCCTAGGTGTGGTTATTTAAGGAGGTTCTCCTGTGTGCGGTACGTACCACAGAATACGTACATTTTGCAAAATTCTGGCGTGCAAGTAGAAGGGTGTCTTCCTGTGGCACCATGCCGAGACTGACGAAGTGAAATATGAATCCTTTTCAATCTGGTAATTTGTAAAGGGTTTCTGAACAATCTTTTGCGCTTAAAGTGAAGAACTATTTTGGAACAAGACTAGAATAGGTAAAAAAGAGCAAAGAAACTGCTGTTTTGTTAAAAATATACAAGAGAAAAATTCGATTATGGCGCTGTCGCCATGATTGTGCGTGGCAGTGTTAGAAGCCTAGAATTCATAGTAGTTGTTGTTGTTGTTGTTTCAGGAACATTCTCGCCGCTAGTTCTACGCCTGGCTGTTACTGTACATCGTCAAAGGTGCTAATGAACACTTTTTTAACGAAGGATGAAGGCGAACACCTCAACAGCGATTTTGAATGTCAAGTACATGACCCACATGCATAGAAGGTACAGAAATTATGATTCAAGCCTGTGTAAATAAGGTCTTATAGAGCTTTTTTGTGCTTATGAATGTCTTTTTAATTAAGAAATGGTTGCATGCACTGTTTTGGTTTAATATTTTGACATTTTGTGTACTTAACACAGCAATTAGAACCCTATTAGGCCAGTTCACTTAAATTAAACTTCCGTCCGGCTCTTTAATATTCCATCACATGCGGCCATTACTATTATGTGGATATGCAGGCTGGGTTTTAACGAGACCTTACAGGGAAAATACAGCATTTTAACTGAGCATCGCCTTTTTGATACCCGGGGTTTAATTAACACTGATCTGATTGATATAAAATCGCTGTATATAAGGCCGGGCCTAAAAAATACCTGTGGTTCCCGATCGATCCTATTTTTTCTGCCGACCCTATTACTTTTTCAACGCAATTGACTGTGCAACCCTACTTTCTCTGGGTGGTTGCAGGCTGCTCATACAGCGTGCCAAAATGGCATCTGTTGTCACACTAATTATTTACTAAATTCGTCCATAGGAAATACAGATCTCCATTGATGTCGGGACTCTACTGAAAATCGCCCAGCAAAAAACCGCGAAAACCATGAAAAGAGTATTAAAAAAAAAAATTATTTCCAACCTACTGACCCTAATTTTATCACAATATGAAACCGGAACCACAGGTATTTTTTTACCCTGTGCACTGCTTCAATTGATAATGCGCGAATCAAATCGAAACCTTGACATCCCCCCCCCCCCGGGCATACCTGGGGAATTTGCTTGTTTAGTATTTTAAGAAGGCGGGAATTTGACCTTTTTTTCTAGTGGAAGGTGGGGAATTTGAAGGGGGTCGGGAATTTGAATTTTTCTTTTAAACACGTGTGCAGAATCCAAAATGGCGTCAATAATTAATGGATAAGTTCAAGGTCTTCAAGTGCAAAGGAATTAACTTTGTCCTTGGTTGGCTACATGAAAACGGCTTTGAACGATTGAAGAGAGTTTTTGAAGGAAAGAAAAACTTTGAAATTCCAAAATTGCGAAATGCTGTAGCTTCCAATTCGTACATGGGGTGGGGTATTTGAACTCCAATTTTTCCCAATACGTGGTGTATTTGAACGGGAATTACAAATATATGTAGGGAATTTGACCTGACCAAAACGTCAAAATCCAAATTCCCGGGGTATGCCCGGGGGGGGATGTCAAGGTTTCGATTTGATTCG